ATATATATATATATATATAAATATTATATATATATATATATATATATATATTATATATATATAATTATATATATATAATATAGAATATATATATATATATATATATATATATATATATATATATATAATAATATTTATATATATATATATATTAATATTTACATAAGTAGAAAAGTATGACAAGTTGGCAAGGAAAAGAAACAGTGAGATCTGTGAAGGACCAGACTTGAGGTAAGTCTGGTCGTTCACAGATCTCAGACATGCCTGTGTGGAAGTGTGACATACGTTATATGAAATGTAATGTGCTCCTAGCATGCCACACATGATGAACAGGGACAGGAGGTGTAAGATGACTAACACCCAAGTACCTAATTACTGTTAGGTGAAAAGAGACAGCAAATGTAAGGTGATTAACACCCAGGTACCTACTTACTGTCAGGTGAACAAGGGCAGCAGGTGTAATGTGATTAACACCCAGGTACTTACTTACCCCTAGATGAACAGGAGCAGCAGGTGTAAGCAAACATGCCCAACGTTTCACCCGTGCCGGGGATCGATCACCAAACAATGTGTGTGTGATCTGAGGACTCTACCGACTAAGATCATTCAAATAAGATATTTAAAAATATAAAAAAAAAAAAAAGTGGGCGATACGTTGTCAGTAAAGTATCTCATCTCACTCCATTTGTTTCTTTTATACGTCATGATCTTAATGAAATAGCAAGTCAGTGGTTAATCAGTATCTCAGTCAGTAGCCAAGAGCGAAGCTGGCTAACTAAATCTCATTCTCACCATTTGTTTCCTGACTTATTTTTAGTGCGTCAGCATTCGAACGAGCTAAACCGTATTTTAGGGATTAAAGTATTTTTGTCTGGTGGTAACAGATTACGTGCAGCCTTAATAGTCGATAGCCTTCAAACTCCATTAATCCTAATCAACCAATAAGCAGCTGGGCAGACACTTCTGCTTGCCTTCAGTGCCACCCTGGGCACTGTAGTCTCCCAGCAATCTTTAGAGTGTCACGCCACCCTCATAGCCTGCTTGCAATGTAGCTCTACCCTTATAGCCTTCTTACAGTGGCACTCCACCCTCGAAGCCTGCCAACACGTAGCTGCAGCTGCAGCCGCAGCAAGCAGCAACAAGGCTGCTCCTATATCTTGCCGTCCCCTGGGCCTATCCGAACTCCAGTGATGGCCAAATTTGCAAGTACTGCTGCAACAACATGCAAGTAAACTATAGTGACATAAAAACTGACGGTGACAACAAAATGGACTAAATATGACAGAAGAGGGACCGGCATTCAAGTACCAGACCTGCTGCCAGACGTGAACCAGACACGAGACGTTTTCCACTACAATGAAACAACTGACCTCCATATCAACTGCACCAGTGTTTAACGGGAAAACAACATGGCAGAAAACCTGATCAACTAAATCTCCAAGGAAATGACAGGTCTATAGGACCTTTTCTTCAGTGCCAAACGAGGGAAAGAATTGAGCCTTTAAACATGGCTGACCGGCATCCAAACAGCCGCTACTGCCAGACGTACAACTAGCGAAGTGAAATTCTCATCTTTACTGACGTTCATCTGTTGACAGTAGCATCATATCTGTACCACCATCATATCACCTGTACCAGTGCTAACGAGAGGGAAACACAGGAGACATCGTCAAATCAACAGTACAAAACTCCAAGGTATAGGACGGTTATCCCTCAGTGCCAGTCGTGGGAAA